TATTTTTTTTTTTTTTTTGATAAAATGTTTGATAAATTTCCAGAAATTTCTGAGAACTATTTTTTTATATTGAAACCCGAAAAAGAAATATTTTTGCTGGAAATGTTTTTTAAAAAAACACTAAAATTATTGTTGATTTTTCAGTTTTTCATTAAAAAATAGACAGTTTTCACAAGGAAAAACCTGAAATGGCCCATTTGTTTCCTCCCAAATTTCCTAAGAAAAATAATTACCCTTTTTCATCCAGTCTAATATTTTTCAAATTGTCAGAATAAAACTTCTTTCCATAGGTCATCTGATTACCTAGGTAGGTATACTAGGAACAACAACAACAACAAACCCTATAAAGGTTTTATAACACAGAACTGCAAACCCTATGAAGGTATTATAACACAGAACTCTCTTTAACTCATATCTATATAATGTTACTGATTCTACCCCCCTCATCCCCTGCTAACATCTACAACAATCACAGAACAGTCCCTCTTTCAGAAATCCCAAAGTAATAATGTATTGTCATGGTTATGTTTATATAATTAGCTGTAATGATAAACACACCTTTAGATTGCATTGTATTTGCAGCTGGAACTGTCGTCATTTAATATACAAATATATATAAATACCTACACAACAGGACCCCAGCTAGGATAAGACCTCTAACATTGTGCAGTATGTGATGTTAAATATATTAATTATTTTAATTGTAAAGGAAAAAAAATAATGAAAATAAGACACTACTTTATTTCTTCATAACATGTTTGATTTGACTTTTCTTGTAAGAGAAGAAAGAGAGAAGAGAAGACTGCCATATTTAAAATATTATTGTGTGAAGAATGATCTTAACATGGGTACACTCAATTAATTAGGGAAAAAGAAGGCAGCCATACAGAATCTTTTAAAAATAGGTTAGCTAGGCAACCTTGTATACATTATATAATAAGCTAAACAATAATACTGGCAGTCCTCAGACTTATGACACAATTGGTTCCTGAAAACCGCCTTTTAAGTTGAAATGTTGTAACTCGGAACTGATTTTCCCATAGGAACAATCTTATAAATGGGGGATTGATTCCTAAACCAAGTCCCGATTCCCTATTTTCACCAAAAATAACCCAAAATTTTGTAATCAATCAATTATAGATTAGTAATATAGCTACATTAATGTATTTATATTGTAAATAGCAATCATATTGATTTGGAAGGACTTCTTTGGATTTTGCTGGACTTTTTGAAGGGCTCTTGGCTGGAGTCTTCTCAGGAGTCTTGGCTGCAGGTGTTTCTGCAGTCTTGTCCGCTTTCTCAAAGCAAGTGTCCAAGGAAGTTTCGGCAGATGTTCTCCAGGAAGATGGGTGAACTTCTTCGCTGGCATGGTGTTGCATCAGATCACACATTGTAAAGTCAAAACCGACATCAGAAAGTCAAAACAGGGTGTCAATTTATAAAAGTCATAAGTGCTATTTATTGTAACTTGAAACATCTTAGTCAAGGACTGCCTATAAGCTGTAATGAGGACGTTCAAATTGATATAGAAGGCATCCAATTTTGTAAGTGCAGCTATTACTGTCATAATTATATATACATAAAATATGTATGAGAGAGAGATTTTGTGTGTGTATGTTCCATTGTATACCTAAAATAAGAACTAAGGCATCATTAAAAAAAAAAAATCATTTCATTCTTTTACAATGGACAGTTGTCATAATCATTGTCTCTGTCTCTTTATCTAGCACTTTTCAACTGAAGATCTAATTTTTGCATACAATGTTCTTATTTGTTATATAAAGGGATATGGTATTGTGAAAATTCTTTGTGCTTGTTTCTACTGTGATAATTCTCGGTAGCTTGACCATATACTAGCAAGGACTTTCTCACAGGAGTCATTCCAGGAAGCATGATACCTGCTGTTCATAGAATGCCCCAGCAGCCTGGGCAATTGACACGGAGTCTAACCATAGTTAGTCTTGAATAAAACTAGGCAAATATTACTAAATCATAAGCACTTATTAGCAAATGTTTCCCCACAAATTCATATCACCTTTATTCATGACCCTATTTATTTTATTTCCATAAAAACTAGAGAAACACATTTTTGTTGTAGAATTATAGGCAGAAAAGAGAGTATTGTATAAACATGATTCTATGAATATTTACAAAGTATTTGCACAAGAAATTTTCAGAAGCCATCTTGAAAGTTTGGTTTGGGAATGAGTAATGAGTGTAAATAACATGATTTGTGTGCTAAATGATATAATGTGAAGGTCAAATTATAGGTAGCAAGTACTCAAGTCAATAATTACAACTATTACTGCTAATTCACAAGTAATTTATTGTTGTGAAGAATGTTCACACAAATGGATTTGTCACATAATTTAACAATGAAGTAATCTGTATAAAAATTGTGGATGGTTTATTAATATAAAAACTGACTATATTTAATTTTCTTTTCTGCAAACATGATTTTCATTTACGTGCGCCATGTTAATAAAATTTGAGGATATGTATATGGATATGTAAATAGAAAATCATGGACCAGAACTAAAAGAGGTAGATTTTAGGCATATCAATCCAATATTATAGTGAAAAATAAAATCTCTGTTGCACAGTCATCTAACTGCTGGAGATGCCCCAAATCACATTTTTTGCTCAATTTTTTGTAAGTCCTGAATTTCTGCCTTCTGTGCACAAATAGAATGTCCCTACTCTTATAATGGTGGGATCCTGGGTTAGAATCATAGAAAATGAGGGTTGGAAGGGATCTCAGGAGGTCAGATCTAATCCAACCACCTTGTCAAAGCAAGATCATCCCAGGCAAGGCTTTGTCTAGCTGGGTCTTACAAACCTCCAAGAATGGAGATTCCACACCATCTCTGTGTAACCTGTACCAGTGTTTTACTACCCTCTTAATGAGAAAATTCTTCCTAATATCTTACCTGAACTTCCCCTGTTGTAACTTGAGACTGTTGCTCCTTGTTCTCAGTGGTGGCAGATGACAGAACAGTCTAGCTCCATCTGCTTTCAAACCCCCCTTCAGGCAGTTGAAAGCTGCTATTAAATCTCCGCTCAGTCTTTTCGCCAGACAAAATAAGCCCAGTTCCCTCAGCCTGTCCTCGTAAGTCATGTGCCCCAGCCCTTGAACTGTAACAAGAAGCCCCTTCTTGCCTGCACCCCCTATTCTGTGCATTTCTTTTTCCTTCTAAGTATTGGCAGAGACCTAGCACACTCATTGCATGGGTGTGGCAAGGCTCAGAGCAAGCCAGAAAGTTGAAGTTATTTCTGTAGGAGAAACCGACAAACTACATCAACATATCAATTAAGCTCAGTGTCACTAAAGAAAACAAAAGAACTAAAATATCCACTTCAAAGACTGTAAATATATCCTGGTGCTAACCCAACTCACTTACTGTCTCCAGTAGCGTTTGATCCTCACTGCCTCACATTGCATGTTTATATTTCATCTGTCTTATCTTTACCATGACATTTTGCATTTTATATTTTATACTTTACAATATTTTATAGTTTAAACCCTTAAGGAATGTACTCCCTGTAGAATAAAGTTACACCATGGACCATTGTTTAAAAACTGCATTTAAATTGTAATTTTAAAGTGATAAAATTTGCTATATTGGTCTGGTCCTCCTTGAGTAAATGTGAATGTATGATGAATCAATATATAACTGAAGACAAAACAAGAGCCCTTGGTTGTTAATTGACAATAACCTAGCCAGAGAAACTTAGCATTACAAAGCTCTACTCTACAAGCCATTTTAGGCTAATCAAGCCAAGGAACTGATTCCTGGAACTGAGCACCCACTCTATTGACTATTCCTGTAACCCAGAATAATACAGCCATTAAGTCAATAAGTCAAGGGTGGACTCCCAAAACTTCAGGTACCAGCAGGCAGAGACCCCTGTGACTAACAGCTGTCATGTAGTGCTCAAAACCCAAGTGGGACAGCGACATCTGGTTTGGGCAGCCAAAATGATGCTGGGGGATCACACAAGTCTACCAGAAAGGGATAAAAGACAGTAAAGCGTGACCCTCAGTGGTGCCCTCTCATCCAGCGCTTGACCTACCTAGACAGAAGGACAAGCAGGTGACCCCCTTCTGGAGAAGACATCACTTTGAAGGCAGCTGACCATCAACAGCAGACTCCAGCGCATTGGGTAAGTAGATATACTGACACCAGTGCTCTCACAATCACTACAGCAGCTACTATACACTTTACTACATGAGTTTGAGTGACATGGGTTTGAATGAGCAAGTGTATGTGTATGTATGTGTTAAAGTGGTCAGTACCCCTTATAACTCAGTTTACATTTATGATTTTATTGGTAACTTCACATACCATACAATAAATTTGAATTCATTATGATTCCATGAGTTGGTCCTTTGTAGCCAACAGAACCATTTTTGTTACCCTTAGCTGAACTCTGTCCAATTTGTCCACATCTTTTCTGTGGTGGGGGGGCCCAAAACTGAACACAGTACTCCAGATGTGGCCTCACCAGTGCTGAATGCAGGGGCATAATCACTTCCCTTGACCTGCTGGTGACACACCTACCAATGCAGTCCAGTATGCTGTTAGCCTTCTTGGCAACAAGGGCACACTGTTAGTTCATATTTGGCTTACTATCCACTGTAACCCCCGGGTCCTTTTCTGAAGAGCTGCTGCTGAGCCAGTTAGCCCCCAGCCTGTACTGGTGCATGGGATTGTTCTGTCTTAAGTGAAGGACTTTGCGCTTGTCCTTGTTAAACCTCATGAGATTTCTTTTTGCCTGATCCTTCAATTTGTCTAGGTCACTGAGTTCTGGTCTCTGCTCTCATGATTATTTCAATTTCTATCTAATAAATTCTGTGTGTCAAATGCATAATCATATATTAGAATCCAAGACTCCCACTTTCCTTAGGAGTCCTATAGACACTAGCCTAGAGTAATCTTCCATGCTTACTTTTCTCCCGGCCCCATGAATTTCATATTTTTTGCTGCAAAAACAAGGAAGGACACCCTCAATCAAAATACTATAATTTGATGATTAGAGTTCTCATCTGTGAGGTGGGAGAAATAAAATTGAGTTTACTCAGACTGAAAAGGGATTACATCTCAGGTGAGTGCTGTAACTACTAGGCTATTACACAAAAGACACCCCACCTTCCCAAGTATATCAGGCCCTATCCTTGGAAGTGAATTGCAGGCTCTGGATTCCACATGGATGGAGGTTCCTGCCTGGGGTTCAGACAGGTGACAATTTTTGCCTGATCTGGCCACAGAAAGTAGGTTATAGCTGTGACCAAACACAAGTGCATGGCTTTAGACAGTTTAAAAAATGGCCGATAGGGTGGAAATATGAAATAGGATGCTGTTTCAGACAATCTAGGCAAAGAGGCATAAGAATGATCATATCTGTCCCCAGTCTCAAAAAAGATAAATAAATCTATATTATAAATTATTCATGGGCACGCATGCATATGCACATTCTCACACACACACACACACACACATATATATAGGGGCAAAATGCCAGATACATAGTAGATTAGTAGTAACATCCTCAGGAAATTGCAGCTTCTTCATAGCATAGTCTGTTTGCACACATTTTGTCTTTATGGCTTGTTAAGGTTTTGTTTTTAACTCTGTCTAGATGCAGCTCATATTAAATAATCAGTCTGAAATGTAGAACACCAGCCAGAAAGCTCTTTTGCTCATGGAAATACTTTGTTGAATTGATCATGTTGTGATTTATTAGCTTATAAAGATTTATATTTCATACTGCAAACATCAATTGAAAGACTGAGAAGTAGCAGAAGAACCCCTTACCAACCTCTTATCTTGATACTAATCCACAATAGATTAACTAAGTATCTTTCATGGATTTTGCCTCTTTTGTTCACAATTTTTTTTTTTAAGTAAGTACAAAAGGTAAAGCCCTCCCTATTTTATGAACTCGATATACTCATTGGTATACTTTCATTGATTGCAAATACACACTTTTACACATCCTACGAGTCCACCAGAATAAGTTAGTGCCTCTTCACTATGGAAATGATTCTATAATTAATATGGGAACAGAGAAGAGAAAGTCCACTGCCTTCTTGCAACTGTCTGCAGGTAAGTAGCAGATTGTAACCTGTTGCACTGTAGTGATCAAGCTTCTTGTTAATTTTCTGCACTGTTACAGCTTTTATAAGGATGGACAAAAGTTGTTATTCCTTACAATTTTAAAATATTTATAATCATGGTGAGATGTCATGCTTTAGTCCCAAACAGGTTGTGTAAAATATGGTACTGTTCTTTACTGGTTTAACCTTTCACTTGAGATTGGTTGGCACTTGCTTTCTTACCCAATTAAATGTACTCCATGAAAAGGTCAAAGTGGAGGCTGTTC